CGTGCTGTTGGTGGTGCCGCTGACCATGGCGACAGCGGCAATGCCTCGCCTGCAGCTGCTCTTCCACACGGCCCTCGACGTGGTGTTCTAAGCGGTGAGGATCGGGCTCATGAAGGTGATCCCCCTGGGTTTCGTGGTGATTGTGATGGCTCACGTTCAGCCCCTTCTCCAGTCGGCGAAGCTGTTCAATGTGCAGCCTCTCATGGTCCTCAGGCTGGCCAGCGCCCCCTTGGGCATGTACGTCCTCAGCGCCCTGTTGAAGTGGGCGCTCATGCTAGTCTCGTTCACGCTCTACCTGCTCAGCGTCCAGCTCGTACTGTTCACGAAGCTCATGCCGGGCCTGTTCGCGCTGTTCGTGCCGGGGCCAGCCAGGCCAGGAACAGCAGCCAGGACCCATGAGCTGCTGCCACCGACCTGTGGTCTCTTTCCCCCCCTCGAGGGCAAGGACAACTACAAGGGCAAGGGTAAAGGCAAGTACTGGATTGACGGCGGAGTCGTCGTTGACTGCCGCGCCTGCGTGCGCATGCGCCGGTTCGCCATCCAGGGCGGGGCGGCCCAGTGCAGGGAATGCCAGGCCGCGCTGAACAATTGCAAGGGCAAGGGCAAGAGGAAGGGCAAGGTCGAGGTGAGGCGGCAGCGCTTCGACTTTTAGGCGTCTTTCCCTTTGTCCCCCTCCCCTTCGAACCATTGTCCTCCCTCCTTCGCCCCTCCGCCCCTCCGCTCGTAGGCATTTGGGTGGTGGAGGCCAGGAGGACGAGAGGAGGATGACGATGATGATGTGGAGCAGTCGCTTGTGTAGCTTACTGTTCTTGTCGAGGCAACGGCCTCGAGCTTGCCGTCTCCTGGGCGTTGTGCTGAGACCATGCGTGGCGCCCCCTGGCTCGGAGGTTGTGCTTTCTGGCATGTTGATTGGAGTGGAACCCTGTGCCGCGGGGCGGTGCAGGATATCCCTCTAACCTTCGTTGCTGGAAGGCTCAGCCTTGTCCCCTCGAAGTGTCCAATCCAATCCAATCCAATCCTCCTCCTCCTCCTCCTCCTCCTCCTCCTCCTCCTCAAGACTGCCAACAAAAGTGCCCTCAAGGAGGTCTCGAGAGGGGGGGGACCTCGCAGGGACAATAGGAGCCCTCCAGAAGATGGCCAACGATGCACTTAGGTCGTGCGTGTCCCCCTACAGACGGAATTTGGACGAAAAAGAAGAAATAGTCAAAACAGATTCCAACAATATTCAAAAATAGTAGAAAAGTCGTGCGCAGGCTATTGTTTGACTGTTTTTGACTATTCCCCCTGTAATCAGAGGGACACGCCCGACTTAGCGACACACCCGCAGAGGCTCCCAAGAGGCCTCCACGAGAGGCCCCCCCAAGACGCCGCGCAACAGACGCGGAGGAAGAGGAGGACGAGTGAACAGCTGCAGGCATAGGCAGCACGAAGGGGAGCGGCAGATCAGGCACACGGCGTCGGAGGCCGCGCATCTCCTGCTCTGGGGGTCGGGCGGAACGGCGCAGGCCTCCTGAGCAAAGCGACCACACACGCCGCCCCTGGCCACAACGAGGGCGGAGGGGGATAGGATTGGGTCGGGCATGTCCTCCTACAGGCGGGCTTGGGAGTGCAAAGAAGCAAGGAGCCGAAACATACCCAACAACAGTCAAAAACAATCGAGACGCCGTCCCTCGCCGCGTTTTACCACTTCTGGAAGCTCCTCCTGTATAGGGACACGCGGACAGGGGGGCCACGACGGCCTGGTGGAAGGAGGAGGCGAGGAAGTGTCATCTGCCGGGGAGCGCAGACAGTGTCTTCGAGGCGGCGCCGTGGGGAGCCCACATCAGCGTGCCACTGCGGAGACAGCACCGTGCGACTCGGACGAACGACACGGAGGAGTAACACGCAGCCGGGCTCCCAACGGCGGCGTGCCACTGATGCCCTTCGTCCTCCCCACCCCCTCCTCCTCCTCCTCCTCCTCCTCCTCCTCCTCCTCCTCCTCCTCCTCCTCCTCCTCCGTCCTCCTCCTCCTCCTCCTCCTCCTCCTCCTCCCCTCCTCCTCCTCATGCTCCTCCTTTCCTCCTCCTTTCCCTCCTCCTCCTCCTTTCCCTCCTCCTCCTCCTCCTCCTCCTCCTCCTCCTCCTCCTTCTCTTCCTCCTCCTCCTCCGTCCTCCTCCAACTCCCCTTCGTCCTCCTTCTCCTCCTCCCCGCGACACCTGTTCGACACGGTTCGTCCCCCACTCTGGGGACCCGCCCAAAAGTACTGATACCGCCACCTCCCGGACCTCTCCCGGGAGGTGCGAAGATAATCCAGCGGCGGCGGCGAGGGCCTCCGAGGAGGCCCCACCAGGGCGAAAACGAGTGAAGCGTAGCGGTGTGGGCACCCCTCCCTCCTCTGACACGCTGCGCGGTGCTCGCCTCCTTCCCTCTCCGCGAGCCCACCCAGATCCAGCTCTGGGCCCCCGACAGGGGGGCGCCCCAACTCGGACCGCAGCGCAGACCCGTGGCCCGAGAGAGAACACACGACCCTGACTCCAGACATGTGGACGCCGGACCTTAAGACGAAGCCAGGACGAGGATAACATCGGGTGGGAATCAATCGAGAACCTCTCAGATCCGGCGGCTCTGGAGGATGCATCGGGCGCCGCGGCATTCTCAGAGCGTTCAGGGACGCTCTGAGAGCGTTCTGGCACGCTCTGGAACGGACTTGTCCGCGTCCTAGCCCCGTCCGAGAACACGCGGCACTGACTACCAAGATGTGAGCGGACGTCAGACCTCCCACTAACGGGCAGCGTCAGGAGGGGACCTGCTTGGGGGGGGGGAGCATCGACCTGGAAGCGCCGGTACGTCGCCGATGGATCGGCGATAAGCCCACGGTGGCGAATCCGGACGTTCCTGGACGGGGTGGCCTGACGGCGATGAATGGGCGATTGGGGTCCCATGTGTCCCCCCTGAACTCATCCCCCCGAACGTTGCCCCTGATGATTTGTTTCACACAACCCGAGGTCGCAAGCTTGACTGCACTGCGCTTGTCCCACGCGGCGTGCGGCAGAACAGACATGACAAAACACCGGAGGGAAGGCGGGGGACAAACACAAAGCTGGGACAGCCGATGGCCAACCTGCAGTGGGTGAGCCAATCAGCACCGACGGAATTAGGGCCAATCCGTATAGTAAGGACGCACGATAAGGATCCAAGGGCCTTGCCATGTCGACCCTTTGCGGGCGGGACGCGGCCAGCGAAAACGGCCAAAGATGGGCTGAAGGGGAAGGATTGGACGCCCGAGTGATCCGGGATAGCTAACTGCTGTCTGGGGTAACTCCAATTTGGGCCCCCGAGGCGCGAATCTGTAACTATCTCTGACCGCCCCCATCCCTGATGACTCGGGAGGGTTGGATGCCCGAAGTATCCGGGATAACTGCGGTCCAGAGTGACCCCGGCTTGGGCCCCCGAGGCGCGAATCTGCAGCTATCCCTGACCGCCCCCAGCCCTGACGGTTCGAGGCTCTGAGACGACGCAGGGGCCTCCCGGAAGGCCTGGGCGGGCCACGCCGACCCCTGCCGGGCGGGGCGCGGCCGGCGCCAAAACGACCAGGGCAGGAGGGGCCGAAGGGGAAGGCGGGGCCGAAGGGGCACGATGGGCCGAGGGGCAACCTTGGAAAGTCGCTCGTCCTCCCCACGCGGGGTGGCTGCATTGAAGGGGCCCTGAGACACACAAATAAATCCGCCGACCCTGTCGGCGTGTGCGAGGGGCTTGGCTGTTCGAGTCGTCGTCTCCGTCGGTCGTCGCCTCCGTCGTCCCCTTTCCCTGCAGCTTCCTTCTCAAGCTCGTGAGCGAGAGAAAAATCGAGCAGTGTCGTAATCGAGTCGAAGGGAAGCCCCTTCCCTTCGATCCCTTCCCCAGGGGGGGGGGGTCCCGGGGGGGGTCCCGGGGGGGTCCCGGGGGGGTCCCGGGGGGGGTCCCGGGGGGGGTGGGGGGGCAGATTCGTTTTTCCTCGGGCGGCCTAGAAACCTCGAAAACACTCCAAATGAGGTCCGAATGCCCAAGATGGCCCCCGAGACGGCCCAAGAGGGCCCCGAGTCGCCCAAAGATCGGCCGAAAACGCCCAAGATAGCCCCAAGACCGTCCAAGAAGCCTCCAAGACGTCCCAGGCCCCCTCCAAGAGACCCCCAGGAAGCCCCAAGAGGCCCCCACGAGGCTTCCAAGCGGCCCCTGAGAGCTTCCCAAGAGGCCCACAAACTACCCCCAAGAGGCCCCCAAGAGTGCTCGTCGTCGTCGTCGTCGTCGTCGTCGTCGTCGTCGTCGTCGTCGTCGTCGCCATTCAGGGTCGGCGGCACCGGCCGTAAGGCCTTCGCAATACACAAAAAAAAGGATTCCATATATTTTCCCATATTTTCTGAGTTTTTGTCTTCCCGCCCACTTCCCATATTTTCCCATATTTTCTTCGGAATCGACGACTAATTGTGTCTGTGTATTTTTTCCCCTCCTGCTGCACACCTCCCGGCGCCGTGCGCGCGGCTGCCGCCGCAGCGGCCCCGCCGCCGTGCTGCGCCCCGCAGGCCGCCCCGCCGCGGGCGAGGCGGGCCGCGGGGCGAGGCGCGCGCGGCGGGGCAAGGCGCGCCCTCGGGGGGGCGGAGGGCCCCGTGCGGCTCCGAGGGTGGCTTCTTCGCCCACGGGCGACGGGGGCACCGCGGCTCGAGAGCAGGGCGGCTCGCCGCAGCGAGGCGACGCGCCACCACGTGCGATGGAGGAGCGCCTGGGCAGCCGGCGCGGCAAACCAGGCGAGGAGGAGGAAGCCGAGGGAGGGGGAGGAGGAGGAGGAGGAGGAGGAGGAGGAGGAGGAGGAGGAGGAGGAGGAGGAGGAGGAGGAAACAAAAACAACAGGAGGAGGAGAAGGAGGAGGAGGAAGAGGAGGAGGAGGAGGAGGAGGAGGTGGGACGGGGCGAGGGCACTGTGCGACGACCCCGCACGGCCCAAACGCCCCCTGCCTCTCAGAGAGGGGCCGGTCGTCCGGATTCGTTTCAGAACCCGCGGACCTCGGACCCGCCGTGGCTTCTTCGGCTGGGGCCCCCGAGAACCTCCGAAGGCCGCCGAGGCCTTCCAAAGTCCTCCCTCCTCTTACTCCTTCTTCCCTCTCCTCCTCTTCCTCCTCCTCCTCCTCCTCCACCTCAATGGCCAGCCGGTCGTAGGACAGGAGGGGCGATGCCTGCGCTTGAGAAGAAGGCGAGACAGAGCAGGAAGGACAACGTGGCGACGAAGGTTCCCCAGGACCCCCAGGCCGCGCGAGGAAAGCTCCTCTTCCTCGTGCACCTCTCCTGCTGTTCATCATCCTCTTCCTCCTCCTCCTCCTCCTCCTCCTCCTCCTCCTCCTGCTGCTCCTCCTCCTCCTCCATCTTCTCTTCCAGTTCCTCTTGTTGTTCCCTTCTCCTACTCCTACTCATCCTCCTCCTCCTCCTCCTCCTCCTCCTCCTCCCCCTCCTCCTGTTGCTGCTCCCTCCTCCTCCTCCTTCTTCTCCCACTCCTCCTCCCTCGGGGCGGACGAAGGAGGGGGTCCTCGTCGAATCAGGTGGCAGCCGCTTTTTTGTGGCGCCACCCTGGCGCCGAACGCGACCATCGTTGTCGGGGAGTGTGCCTCACGGCATCGCCGAAACTGGCTCCGTGCAGCTAGTGTCGCCGCCCCCCCCCTCCTTTACCAATTCCACCTTCCGTCCGCCCCTCGTCCTCGTCCTCGTCCTCTGCCTTGTCCTCCTCCTCCTCCTCCTTCTCCTCCTCCTCCTCCTCCTCGTCCTCCTCCTCCTCCCTCCTCCCTCCCTCCTCCTCTCCTCCTCCTCCTCCTCCTCCTCCTCCTCCTCCTCCTCCTCCTCTTCCTCCTCCTCCTCCTCTTCCCCATGGTGCTTTGCTGGGCTTGAGTCGAGCGTGCTCTCGATGCTGTTTGGGCGACTGTGCGTTCTCAGATGTTCTTGCCCGCCGTGTCTGTCCACCATCTGTCTTGGCGCGTAGCTTCATGTGCTGGCTCGTCCTCCTCCTCCTGCTCCTCCTCCTCCTCCTCCTCCTTCTCCTTCTCCTCATCCCTCCTCCTCCTTATCCTCCTCCTCACCATCACCACCACCACCACCACCACCACCACCATCGTCACCATCACCATCACCATCACCATCACCATCACCATCACTATCACCATCACCATCATCATCATCATCATCATCATCATCATCATCATCATCATCATCATCATCATCACATCACACCACCCACCACACCACCACCACACCACCACCATCATCATCATCATCATCATCATCATCATCATCATCATCATCATCATCATCATCATCATCATCATCATCATCACCATCACCATCACCATCACCATCACCATCACCATCACCATCACCATCACCACCATCACCACCATCACCACCGTCATCATCATCATCATCATCACCATCATCATCAGTATCATCAGCAGCATCATTATCAGTATCATCATCAGCAGCATCATCACCATCATCATCATCATCATCATCATCATCATCGTCCTCATATCATCACCATCATCATCACCATCATCATCAGCATCATCATCACTATCATCAACATCACCAACATCGGCATCACCATTATCATCATCATTCCTAATGCTCCTCATGATTATTCGTCTCTTTCCGCCCTACCTCCAAACGCTCCTCACCGCCCCCCCATCTTTCCTTCTCCTCGTCCTCCTGTACCTTCTCCTTCTCCTCCTCCTTTACCGACTCCTCCTCCTCCTCCTCCTCCGCCTCCTCCTCCTCCTCCTTCTCCGAATCGGGACGAATGAGTGCACGAGGCTTCAGCGGCTGGGGCTGCTCTACACTCTTGGGAACAGTAGCTCCAAGCGAAGGGAGTGGCGAGCCGGGGCGCCACGAGGCGCTGGATGCGAAGCCCTCGGGCGAGGGATGTCCGCGCGCGCCACATCTGACATCGTGCCTCGCCTGGCCGTGCACGGTGTGGAAAACAACGGGACCGGGCTCTCGCCGAGGCGCCCCGCGAACTCGTCTGCGCTGCTTGCAACGGGGACGAGGATGGAGGGGGCGTCGAGTTCCAAAGCGAGTCCTTGCCTCAGCGCCGCCGCAGTCGTCTCCAAAGCCTGGAAGGGGGTATAAAGGATCCAGGGCGTCTTTTTTTTGCAGAGTGGGGCTCCCGCGTGGAAGCACCGCTCGCTTCCGTCTTCCAGAAAGCTTGCCACAGCTGCAAGGGTGCAGAGGACTGTCGACAGTCCATGTGTGACTCTCGCCTGAGGGACCTGCACTGAACGGCCAGAAGGTTGACCGCATGTGAGAACTGCGCAACGCAAATGGAGAGCGAGTCGCTTCCAATCCTTGGGCGCTCGCCCGAGACTTCCTCATGTGTAGCGGCAAGGCCTGCAAATCCGTGCCACACGTTACATGGACGGCGCAAGCGGTTTCTTTTCAAAATGAGCTTTTCGCTGGATCTGACCAGTTCCCATCCATCTAGCATGTTTGAAATGCACGGTTTCCCCTTGGACCGCAGGCGACCCGAGGAGGAAGAGGTGAGGAGGCGGAGAAGGAGGAGGAGGAGGAGGAGGAAAAGGTGGAGGTGGAAGAGGAAGAGGAGGAGGAGGAGGAGGAGGAGGAGGAGGAGGAGGAGGAGGAGGAGGAGGAGGAGGGAGGTAGGGAGGAGGAGGAGGTGGAGGAGGAGGAGGAGGAGGAGGAGGAGGAGAAGGAGAGGAGGAGGAGGAGGAGGAGGAGGAGGGGGGGGAAGGGGGAGGGGAGGAGGGAGGAGGGGGGAGGAGGAGGAGGGAGGAGGAGGAGAGGAGGAGGAGGAGGGAGGAGGAGTAGAGGAGGGAGTAGGAGGAGGAGGAGGAGTAGAGGAGGAGGAGGGGAGGAGGGAGAGGAGGAGGAGGAGGAGGAGGAGGAGGAGAAGGAGGGGAGGGGAGGTAGAGGAGGAGAGGAGGAGGAGGAGGAGTGAGGAGGAGGAGGAGGAGGAGGAGGAGGAGGCGGAGGAGGAGGAGGAGGAGGAGGAGGAGGAGGAGGAGGAGGAGGAGGAGGAGGAGGAGGAGGAGGAGGAGAAGGGAGGAGAACGGGTCGCCTAAATCCTTCGGAGAAACCCTCCAATTAGAATCATGAGAGGCAACTCCTCTTCAAAGCTGGGCTCTCACCCGGATGATCGGACCAACCCGGTGCTCGTCTTTCCAGGGGACGCTCCTTTTGGCGAAGAGGTTGCCTGGCAGGGGCTCGTGAAGGAAGACTTGGGATGGGATTTTGCACTACAACATCGTAGGCGCATCCAGGTTTTTCTCTGGTCACCCCTCCTTCTCCTCCTCCTCATCCTCCTCCTCCTCCTTCTCCTCCTCCACTTCCCCACCTCTTCCTCCTGCCCCCTCCCCCCTCCTCCCCGCAGGGGGGGCGAAAAGAGACTGATAACGCTACTCCCGAGACCTCCTCGAAGGCGCATTCGGACCCGCATCTCGCAGCGAATCCAGCCGTGACGACGAGAGAAAGGCACCGGCACCGGCGAGGGTTCCTCAGCTGACTTTCCTCCATCGGCGACGACGGCCACAACGAGGACGGCGACCCCCGCAGGCGGCAGCTGCGACGGCATGGCCTCGGGACCCCACCCGCCCGACGGGGGGGCGAGGCCCGGGCCGACTCCGCCCGGTGCCGCTGGGCCGCCGCCTTGGCCAGCCGCTTAGCGAACTCGGCAGCCGCCTCTGTTGCTCCACCCCCCAAGGCCTCGAAGGCGCCGATGGCCCATCGCCGCCTCCTCATCATCCCCTCTGTCCGTCCTTTCTTCTTGATGTTTCCTCATCTCTACCCCTCCTCTTCCGACCTTCTTCTCCTCCATCCCTTTCCTTATTTATTTATTTCCACTCGGCTATGCCCCAAGAGCTGCCTGGCCATCACTGTGTTAACCTGCCCTGGAACCCACTGCAGGTACTTTGTGCACCTTATGTACAATATCTATATATATACACTTATATATATATATATATATATATATATACTAGAACCTTTCCTTGTCACGCTACACAGCAGGGCGGGCCTGGCGTTTCGCTGGATACCTCTTCACCACTTATGACCCTGAAGCTTCGAATCTGCAACAGCTTCATGGGTGGAGGGTGGCTGTTTTTCTAAATCCACCGATCCGGCGTGTGACCTGCACAAGGAGCCTCAGCAAGAGCTTCAGCTCTGAGCCTCAACAAGAGTTTCAGCTCTGCTTGGGGGGGTCGGGGACTCGCGCAAGGGTCGGAAAGGAATTGGGGCCGGGGCGAGAAACTCCGGGGCCCCCTCCAACAAATCCACTAGCTGTACACCGTCACACCCCACGCGAGGTGCCGGTCTCCAGGACACAGCCCATCGGTAGTGCCGGCAGCCCTGCACTTCCAATGCATCCCCGAACGAGGCATACGCAGCGTGTTGACACGGCTGCACGATGGTGGGCCTTCCACAAAGTGGCACGTTTGAACTTTTGTGTGTTTATTTGTCGGCGAGGCGAGGCGAGGCGCGCCTGAGTCCGCCAGGGGGCGGGGCCTGAAAGGCCAGCGCGGGCGGGCCGGTGCCCTCAGTTGCAGATGTGAGACTTTCGGTCAGTGCTGTGTGTGGCGTGGGAATGATTGTTCAAGATTGTTCCATTGAGCGCTGTCTTGTGCTATCGTAAACCATCGTCCGCTGCCAGGTTGGAGAAGCATGTTTGCTGTCAGAAAATGTTAGCATGTTTGTTGGAGAAGCATGTTAGTTGTCGGGGTATATGCAATGCCGGGCAGGCAATCGTGCTTGAGCTTGGGCTTCGTTGCCGCCCGCTGCAAACCTCAATGCCGCCTCGTGCGCTGGAGTGGGCCCCGCGAGGTCTCGTCGCTTCCCGCCGTTGCTGATTCGTTGCCGCCCCCGGCGCACACTGCACTGCATGGCTTACACCATCGAGCTTGCACCACATAGCTTGCACATCAAAAACGCAAAGACCGACTGCATGGGCCCGCGCTGCCTTGCACAGTTGATGTGATTCCTGAAATTGGAGCACACAGGGCAGTACTGCTGGTGTCGCTGTAGCAACTTTCTTCGTGAACTGATCTATCCTGACGATGTATGCCGGCTGTCCTGCATGCCTGCCATGTGTTTCCCCTGCTGATTGCTTCTGAAATGTGTGCCAATGGTGTGAACAATGGCTCGGCGAATCTCACAATACCTCTTTCAATCGCAAAATGTTCCGTGCTACGGATTCCGCCCACATCCTAAACTTGTTTAGCTTCCAAGATGCAGCCCAGCGGCAAAGGCGGCAACGCTGCATATCCATACTCTTGGCTTGTCCAGCTCGTTGTTGCTGGGATTTACGGCCGACGGTGCGAAGTGGGCCGTTGACGCCATACCTCTCTCAATCCAACATTTCCGTCTTATATATATGTATGTATATATATGGTCTCGCTTCAAGCTTCGGCCTCCAAAACATAACCTCAGCGGCAACGCGACCCGTCCTGCTTTACACCGTGTCCATATGTATGTCACATGTGACACTCTGAAGTGATATGTGCCCTTGATGTGAAGGGGATCACGGTAATTCTTTCATTCGTGATCTGATCCGTCCTAGCGAGTCCGCCACTACACGAGGCTTGGGCCCCGGGGGCACAGCCCGGCGGCAAAACCTGCGGTCCTGCATATTTGTCATTACTACCTAGCACAGCAGGTCTTAAATTTGTAAGCTTGTCCGTATTCCGTTCCCTGACGAGGCTTTGGCCTCCAGGACAAAGACCGGCGGCAATGCCGGCGGTCCTGCATATATTGCTATGCAGGTTGTTGGTTCGATGTTCGACATGAGCTGAAGTGTGGTGGCTGCAACTAGGTTTGCATGGCTACCACAAATTTCGCCGCGGTGAATTGATTGTTCGACATTTGTGTTGGAGATGCGTTTTGCTGATGAAATTTGCTTGCCCCTTTCAAACGAAGTACTGAAGTCTAGAACACAGCCTGGAGGCAAAGCAAGCAGTCACGCCTACTTTCGAAACGTATCCTACCACGACGTTGTTCTTTCCAGGAAGACGCAATGGCGATGCCTATCGTCTAACGTGTATGTCAATTGTATGTTTCCCCAGTTGAGCTAATTACCAATGCGACTCGCACTGGTGGGTAGCTCGTTCATCCACGAACTTCCCCGTCCTAGCAATTTCGCCCCAATGTGAAACTTGCGCCTCAAGGACGAAGCCGAACGGCAATGCCGGCGGTCCTCATACATTCCACATGTTTGGCCACTTCATTGTTGATTTTGATGTTCAGATGGCAGTGTTGCTGATGATTCGGTAGCTGCCTGCTCCGTTACCCTGTCCGTCCTCGAGAACCCGACCCCATGCGAGGCTATGGCCTCCAGCACACAGCCTGGCGGCAACGTCAGCGGTCATGCCCGCGTGCCATCTGTGCTTGCCAGGCTTCCTGTTTATGGGATTTGCGCCGATGGTGCGAAAAAAGGACATCAATAACACGGGAACTATTCGCTTCATGATCTGATCCGTCCTAGCGGATCTGCCCTCATACGAGGCTTTGGCCTCCAGGACGCAGTCTGGCGGCAATGCCGGCGGTCCTGCAGATCCTCCCGCTTTGCTTCCCAAGCTTGTTGATACTGAGATGTGCGACGATATTGTGAAGGGCAGACCACCAATTTAACGGTACCCCATCTTTTTGTAAACTGGCCCGTCTAAAGAAAGTCAGCCCCCTCTCGAAACTTCGGCGTTCAGGACACAGTCCAGCGGCAATGCCGCCGTATTGCGTGTTTAGCACATCTGCTTTCCACATTTTGTTGTTCTCATGTTCCCGATTGTGTGAAAAAGGGAATTGTGTTAACAACACGGTACGTGTTTCATTCATTAGCTTAGCACGGAAGCCCTAGTTTGTCAGTTGTCCGCGCTAGTGATTCTGCTGCCAGACGTCAATGCTGGCGGTCTTGCGTACATTGCATTACGTGTTTCCCCGGTTGACTGCTGATCGAATGTCCAGGGTGGGCTGAACAAGCGTGGCTTCCGCTGGGTGTGCGCGGAGTGCACACACGTTTTGGCACGTCCAGAGATGTGTGAGGAGCCCCAGAGCCCCTACGCTCGAAAGCATTTGCGCAACGGGGCCATCTCAAGCCAGGTCCGCAGCGTCACCCTGAGGGAAGGTGCAGCAGAAGGGGACTCCCCCCCTCCCTCCTCGTCCTCCTCCTCCTCATCCTCCTCCTCCTCCTCCTCCTCCTCCTCCTCCTCCTCCTCCTCCCCCTCCTTTTCCTCCTGCTCCTCCTCATCCTCCTCATCATCCTCCTCCATCTTCCTCCTCATCATCCTTCCTCCTCCTCCTCCTCCTCCTCCTCCTCCTCCTCCTCCTCCTCCTCCTCCTCCTCCGCCACGCAACATGCTACATCACAGCGAAAAGCTGCCTGTGAAGGGCACCGTCCGGGAACCATGTTCTGCGATAGGGCCGGCCGACCAGCGCCAGGGAACCTCTCCCTGGCCTCAGGCGCCCTATCGCCGTCAAGCAGGCTCCGTAGCAATCCCCATTCCCCTCCCCACTCCTCCCTCCTCCTCCCATGGACCATGGATCAAACTATTCCCTCCCCCTCCTCCCTCCTCCTCCCTCCTCCCCTCCCCCTCCTCCTCCCCTCCCCTCTTCCCCATTCCCCTCCCCCCTCCTCCCTCCGCTCCCTGTGTCAGCTTCCTACCCTGGATAAAACTATTACTGAGGCGGTGGAGGCCGGCGGCGAGCGAGGGGGGGAAGCGAGAAGGAGAAGGCCTCTCTTCAGAAGCCTCGGCAGTCCCCCGGCCGTGTGAGAAGCTTTCTAAGCCTTCCCCGAAGACGCAACAAAAGCCTTCTCCGAAGGCGCGAAGGCTTCTGAGAAGTCGAAGTCCCGCCGCGTTCTGGCAAGGCCCTCTCCTCCTCACTTACCCCCTCGCTCGCCGCCGGGGAGGAGGACAAGGGGGGGGGGAATGGGGGAGCCAAGGAGTCTGACGAGAATGCTGCCACGCTGCGCTGGGCTCAAGACTCTTTCCAGGAGCTCGGGGGGTATCCGGCGCGCCCTCGCCTCTGGAGCCCGCGCGGAGCAGCAGGGGCCGGCGGGGCAACCTTGAGGCGCACCGCTCTCAGTCATCCCTGCTCCTCTGGGGGGGGACAACCAACACCCATGCGCTCTGGACCTCCCCACGGGGCGGATCCAGCCGTAGCGTCGAGGGAACGGGGAGGAGGAGGAGGAGGAGGAGGAGGAGGAGGAGGAGGAGGAGGAGGAGGAGGAGGAGGAGGAGGAGGAGGACGACGAGGCGGAGGCGGAGGCGGAGAAGGAGGCGGAGGAGGAAGAGGAGGAGGACGAGGAGGAGGCAGCAGTGTCGGTATCTTTCCTGTTCTGGCTCTGGCCCCTCTGAAAAAAACAAAGGCCTCCTCCATGGGGTCGGAGAAGGTGGGGTCGGAGGATGGTGCTTCATCGCCGATGAATCGGCTATGCACCGGCGATGTATCGGCGATGCACCGGCGATGCATCGGCGACGTCCGCGTGAAGAAAATCGGGCTCCGCATCGATCCGCATCGGCGATGCATCGGCGATGCGGCGCGATCCTCCGACCCCATCTGTTCCGACCCCATCTGGTAGAAGAAGAAACACCGGCATAAACATAAACTTTTGGCGCTCCGCGTGGATTTCGAAGGTCTGCGCTGGACCCCCATACCTGGCGCGCGTCGCGCGCCAGGGGCGGCGCCTGAGGCGCCGCCAGGGGGGCCCAGCGCAGATCCAGGAAATCAGCGCGGACCGCCAAGAACTTATACTTATGTCGGTGTCTCTTCTTCGACCTAGGAGGCCTAGAACAAGAACCCAGACATCCGGCCGCTCCAATTTTTTCGATGCATGGGTCCCGGAGGTCTGGACCACTTCCCCAGGGCCGGTTTTTCGTCCCGAGTCGTTTCTTGACGCTCCGGAGGCCCGGCAAGGGCCCCCATGAGGTTGAAAACTGTCAAAAACCGCCTGCTCCAATCTTTTTTGGAGCGTCGGATCTCAGGGTAGAGTTAAGTCGGGCATGTCCCCCTACAGGCGGATATTGGACGATACAGAAAAAACTATTAAAAAATCGTCCCACTGCTATTTACCTAACAGCGAAGACTGATAGGTTTCTAGTGGGGTCAAAAGAGAGCATCATGACTCCTCAGGGGGGTCGGGGCGGGACCCGGGGCGGGACCCGGCGCGGCTGCCGTCGAAGCCCAAATCCCTTGGGACATCCTCGCGAAATCGCTCTTGGCGCTGCTAGAACTCCATTCCCGGCGTACGTTTTGGATGCCCGGAGCAAACTGTAGGCCACTTCGTGCTCTTCGACTTCCCAGAATAACTCCATTCCCGGCGTACATTTTGGATGCCCGGAGCAAACTGTAGGCCACTTCGTGCTCTTCGACTTCCCAGAACTCCATTCCCGGGCCACATTTTGAATGCCCGGAGCCAACTGTAGGCCACTTCGTGCTCTTCGAGTTCCCAGAACTCCATTCCCGGGCCACATTTTGAATGCCCGAGCCAACTGTAGGCCACTTCGTGCTCTTCGAAGTTCCCAGAACTCCATTCCTGGGCATGATTTTGAATGCCCGGAGCCAACTGTAGGCCACTTCGTGTTCTTTCTAGTTCCCAGAACTCCATTCCCGGGCCACATTTTGAATGCTGAAGCAGGCTGATTCTGCGGCGAGGGGGGGGCTCAGGCTGAGGCTGTGGCAGGTGAGCTGAGGCGAGGCTGAAGCAGACTGAGGCTGAGGCAGATGAGGCTGAGGATGAGGCTGAGGCTGAGGCTGAGGCTGATGTGAGGCAGGCTGAGGCTGAGGCTGAGGCTGATGCGGGCTGAGGCTGAGGCAGGCTGAGGCTGAGGCCGAGGCAAGGCAGACTGAGGCTGAGGCTGAGCAGGCTGAGGCTGAGGCTGAGGCAGGCTGAGGCTGAGGCAGGCTGAGGCTGAGGCTGAGGCAGGCTGAGGCTGAGGCTGTGACTGCGACTGCCGTTGCCGCTGCGACTGTCATCGCGAATGCGACTACGACTGCGAGAACAGCAGAA